GTGATGTTCAACTGGATGCGCCTCGCGGCGCTCCTCCATCACTTCGCTGAAGGCACTCCGATCCCAGAAGGTTGGCTTACAAACATAAATGTGGTCGCTCTGAACGACCCGCGCTGCGAGTGTCCTGAGTACGCGAAACCTTCCCCAAGACCCGACAATGGTGACTCATCTTCAGGTTCCGCGGGTTCGAGGCGTCCTGGTGTCCTTGACTTGTCGCCTCCTGCACGTAACAGGAGGGCATCGACGTCTGGGTCGCGGGCTGGTAATCGAAAGCGGAAGGCGTCTACAGTGCGAGATGCGCCAGTATCCAAGCGTCCGTCGCTGAGTCCGGCTCGAGACTTGAGACATCGACTCGACGGCCCGCTCCGTCCTCGGGGCTATTCGCCCCGGGACAGCTGGTATACTCCCCCCCAGAACGTTCCCAACGCTCGGAGTCTGGCAGAGGCGGGTCGTGCTCTCCCAGCTGGGATGCTTTGGACCGACGTCCGCGAGGATGTTCAACATCTTTTGTGGTCCGGGATGAACTTCAGGAGTGCCATGAGGTGGGTTTCTGAAGGCCAGGGCATTCACTACCTTGTGCCTCGGGAGGCTGTCTGTCGCATGTTGGCTCAGGTAATTCACGCAGATCAGCTAGTTGAGACTCCCTGGTGCCGTTTTGTCCCTGGTGGATTTTACACCAGGGCAGAGGGAACCCTGCGTCTGCGCCTCGCCAAGCGAGAACCAACACCCCCTTGGCATCCTCTGGGTCGGTGTTACATCAAGGTCCAGAGACGCAAGCAGTCGACGCGGGAGACTGAAGCTCTACAATCCAAACTCCCTGAGTCTTCGGACGATGAGGTTCAGGACCCGTCTTACGAGTTATCACAGGAGGTGCTGGATAAGCCTGCGCGAGCTGAGGCCGCTGCTGACAACGACGAGTCGAGTGAAGACTCCGACAACACTGAGAAGAAGTCCAAGCCCGCGACTACACACCTGAGTCCTGGCAGCTTTCAAGAGTCCAAGACTGGGAAGACGAACGGCAAGGATGGTGACTCAAAGAGCCGCGGTGCGTCCGCGAAACCCAAGTCTCGTGTCATCACTAGCTCCAAGTCTCAACCTATTCCAAAATCCAATACTACGCGCGAGCGTAAGATGCCTATTCTCTCCCTGGCCACATTCCTTCGTCGGGCTAAGGTGGAAATTCCATCCGATGGCCCTCGACGTACTCGGTCCAAGTTGGCCAAGTTGAGTTACGACGACCTTCACAGCAGCCACTTAGACATGGTAGAGGCTGCATGCCGGGAGACACACGTCTCTTATCGTATTTTCGGGATTCTGGTGAAGTTCGATCCCTATCAACAGTCTCAGGGATATCCTGACTTCGAGCCGCACAAGCCCGACATCCACGTTTTGAAGGAGCGCTGGGATCTGGAGGCATACCAAGCTCTGGTTTACGTTCCTGAACCCGTCTACGGTCATCCTGCTCGAGATGAGGATGGCGAGATCATCAGAGCACCCTGGTCTGTGATGTTTCATTGTCGCGTCACCGTGCTTTATTTTCACGAAGTGCGTGACTTGAACTCTGGGACGCTCGACGGAATCAAGGATTACGTGGACTTCATGCGTATCAACGCCAAGACCTGGTGGGTCATCCTCCACTGGTTGACCATTTCCTTCTTGGGTCGGGACGCTGCTGACGAAGATGCTTCTCGCGACTTGTACGAGGAGCGTCGCAGAGATGTCAAGCGGCTTCGGGCAAGGTACGAGGCTCTACTCAAGCGGTTATTTGCGATCCCTGGGTTTCCGAAGACACTACTTTACGAGCCTGGTCTGTGGACGCTTCCTGTGTGTGCGTGTCACTGGATTCTTAAGGATCCTGCGCATTCGCCCCTTATTCGCCGTGGAGTTGCTGGCTACGCTGCTCAGCTTGATGACTTGGACGTGGAAGATCCTATTCGCACGCAATGGGCTGCTCCACACACCGACAATGACATTCTGGCCACGGTCCCTGCATTCATGCATCCACTTCTTATGCAACCTGAGCGCCGGGCTCGGAACGTGATTCCATTATCTGCGGCGTCTCAGGCGTGAACTCCTTTCGTCAGCTGTTGCTCTCCACGTACTCTGGATGTCGGGGTTACTCTTCTTTCTCTCAGTCTCAGACAGTAATTCGTTAATACGGATCGTTCTCCGTTTTTTTTTTATTTCTCGTATGTTGACTTTTTACCGCTTTAGCGGTAGTTGTTTGTCTCGACACTCACTAACACATTGGCAGTTCTCTGATATCCTCGCTGGATCCAGGGAACGACCACCCACAACTCTCACAATCAATACCATTTCGTTCGCACATACAAGTTCTTTGGGCTAGGCGTTGTCTTCGGACCTAGTTTCCAGGGTGATCGTCCCCAGA